ACCGACAATGCCTGGGACGTCGAAAGCGTCTCAGACACCCTCAGCGTGCACACAGCGCTCGCTTCACCGCCAGGGACCCCGCGCAGCGCGGCCGACACGGGGCCTCATGACTGTGCAGGCGATATAGCGCCCACGGCGGCCGATCAGGCCACACCGGGCTATTCACCGACGCAAGCAGCCCCTGCCACGCCCCCGCTGCCACGTTGGCGAAATTCACGCCCACCACACGCCCTGCCAGCTGGCGAGCGCCAGTCATGGCTGTATGTGCCGCTGCTGCATGCAGGGGCTGCAGGTGTGGGCGCAGAAGCTGACAGGGCTTGGCGTGAGCATCCGCAGGCGGGCCCGCGTTGGGAGGAGCTTGTCGCGGCTCTACGGGGTTCGCGCCCAATTGCGCCAAGCGCGCTTGCTCGCTTGTACCGAGCCATTGCGGAGCTCGAGGCTGGCGACGCGCAGGCCTGTGTTTCTCCCCGGGATCAAGCCTGCCTGGCTGCAGTCACTTTGCTCCCCGATGCCCCCATTTCCTTGCCCGAGGCTGTGATCACATGTGCAGACCCCGACGGCTACCTATCGGCCGCAGCGCAATCGGCGCTGCTGGAAGGATTTGGAGGCGTGGCGGTAGCGGCAGCAGCAAATTCCTTGGCAGCTGACATGCGGAGCGCGTTCGAGCTTGGTCCGCCTGTGTGTCCCCCGCGCGCAGGTCCAGGCCGTAGGACGACCAGCCCGACGCCAGCGACCTGGACACCCCCGCTGCCGCCGATGGGGAGCCGGCTCTGCAAAGCGATGTGTCGCAAAGCCGAGCCCCCCACTCCAGAGCATGGGAGCAATTGGACGCGATCGACCTGGCGGCGGAGTTCCGCCGCCCCGTCCCCACACTGCAGGACGTCCCGCCGTTCCTCCGGGCTGCCGTGCGCCACGCCCTCATGTTGGCCTTACGAGAGCTGCGCACGGCGTACGAAGCGGGCACTGACCACAGTTACACGGCGACAGAACGTGCTTGGAAACTGTTTCTTTTAGCTCCCCGCATGCTGTTGGCGCGTCCTGCGCACAGACAAGGGCCCCGCGGCCGCGAGGAGCTGTTGGCACGGGCGGCCGCCTTCGAACGAGGCGAGTGGACCAGTCTACTCGAGAACGCCCGCCAGTTGCCTGTGCCAACAGAATCACCTCCCAAATCCGACGAAATGCTCGCAGCGGAACGCCGGGAGCGGGCATGTGCCAAGGTGCGCATCGGAGAGGTGTCGCGGGCTCGCCAAGTGTTGACTGCAGCGGAGCTCGCACCGG